TGGCGTTGACGACGGCCCCGTCGGGACAGATCCAGGCCGTGGCCGAGGTAGCAGTAACGCCCACACGCCTAAGGGAGGCCCACAGGGCACAGAAGGGGCCCCAAATGGAGGGCCAGGAATGCCAACCCAGAAAAGTGAGCACGGGCCTCACGGAGGCCGAAATCAAGAACCTGGAAAAGGCAACCAGAGGCCCGAGAGGGCCTGCAAGTAAGAGTCGACGGGCATCCAAGTGGCTCGGGAAATGGGGTCCAACTGGGCCACAGGGGAGAAAAAGGAGGGCCAGGGTGCGCGACTGCCCATCCTGACGATGGTCTTGCAATTCACCAGCCGCACCTCGAAGAACCTCCAACTCCTGCCTGTTAGTTCCCATGACCGTAGACCCAAACAACACAGAAGACTCCAGAGCACTCCGACACATGCGTCCGAGCTCGCGGCGACGAGACTTGGAACCCTTAAGGATGGACACGCGGCGACGCCTGAGACGCATCGCCTTGACACGGCTGGCGGTCGCGGCCCTGCCCCAAACGAGACCAGAGGCGAAATCAAAACCTAAGTTGCGCTCAGACCTAGCAGGCAGGGGTCGGAGGCTCTTAAGCTTGACAGCAATGGAATTGCGAACGGAGGGCGTGTTCCCGAGCACACGGGACTCGCCGGTGGCAAACATGAGATCAACGGCCACCAGTTCGCTGCGGAACTTCTTACTTGCAGCGACGACATCCTGCGCGACGCGCGACTCCGAGCCCTAGCGCATGCGGCCGAAGTCATCGACATTGACCGACAATTGCACCGTCGGGACAGAGGCCTGCACAGCATCTAGCGGACCTAACAGCATGAGTTGGAACATACAGGTGGCAAACGTACATCCTGGCACAACGGTTTGCTCGACATCAAGCAACGAACCAACCTCGCCAGCAACATCGAGCAGCCTGGGAGGCCCTGTAAATCTGCACCAACAGGTACAATTACCACATCGGGAAAGCAGTGGCCTGGGCGGCCTTAATGAGATGGCCGTGCTGCACCAACTCAACAGGCCTTTAAAACAACATCGATCGATGCTCTCTTAGATGGCCCCAACAGGCCTTCCAGGGCACCAGCCGCAGCATCAGCAGAGGCAGCAGCAACATCAGCAGCACCAGCAGCAGCAGCACCAAGGATCACACTCTTTGGATCCCTCCACCTCCTCCTCCTCCTCTTCCTCCTCCTCTTCCTCTCGCTCCCACGCGGCCCTCAGGGATGGCCCGAAGATGCCTTCCAAAGCCACCCCCTTGCTCCAAGGATCTCTCGGTTCATCCTGGTTGCTCGCCTTGTTTCCCTAGATGTGTCCCTTCGCCACTTTTCCCGTCAGCTCTCGTGGGCAGGGCTTCTGAATGGGCTGGTGGGGATACTTTTTTTGTTCGCGAGCGCGCAGGGGTGCCAGGCGCCGTCAGGGAATTGCAAACTAGCAATGGCCTAAATCAGGCTGGTGGGGATACTTGTTTGTTCACGGGCGACACAAAGCAACTGCGCGCCGTCAAGAAGCGAAGTTGGTGGCGATACGCGAAGCGTAAAGAATTTTGTGTCTGGTTTTGCGTTGTTGTTTTGTTATTTCTCTTTATCTCTCTCTCTCTCTCTCGTTCTCTGCTTCTCTCTCTCTCTTTCTCTCTCTCTCTCTATCCTTCTCTCACTCGGCGACGTCAAGCTACTGGTGTGAACATGGACAAAGCGAAATTCCCAGCGCGTGCTACTACCCCTCATCACCGCGTTCGTAGATGGCAGCAACTCCACGGCCGCCAAGAAACTCTCCAGGCGCGACTTGCTGCCCACCGCCAACGCACCAGCGCTAGCCCCTCCTGTTTTTCCGTGCGCTGCGAGAACAACTGGCACCGGGCCGCCGATTCTTTTGGCGATTGACAGTCGGATCGCCAGACCTGACGGACCCTATGCTTACTGCGTTCTCGGTTTTTGCCAGCACTCTCAGGCATTCCCAGACGTGGGAAGCCTGTGGCCCACGGAGCACAGTGCACATCAGAACTGCTCAGAGACCACTTGAGAAACCAGGGCTCACAAATTAAGTTTGTCTGGGCATCGCTCGGACGTCCATTCCCTGTGTTGTTTTTCGGTTTCGTGTGTGGTTTTTCGCCAAATGATCAAGGATGCTCCTCGATGGTCCTCACCGAAGGAAAAATGCACACGTCCGAGCGATGCCAAGTTGTGGAAGAACCAAAAAAGCTGGCAGAAACCAGGGCTTGCAGATGGAGTTTGTGGAAAAACCGAAAAGCTGGCAACGGGCCATCGAGGGGAATGCCCCAGCGCGGCGCCCTGTTCCCAAGGCCTCCGAGGTGTGCGCATGCAATCAGGAGTGCTAAACTCTGGGGTCTCCGTCCTCTTCGGGTGTGCGGACTGGGTGTGCCACACCCTGGGGAGGTCTCTCTGACCACCCCCGCCATTCACATGTGGCGCAATCCGCCCTCAGGGGTGGGCATCGCGGGCGCGTGCACCCAGCGCGCCCGGACGGACACTCCGCCCGAATCGTTGCGCTCTCTCTTTTGTTTCGTTTCCATTTCTCTCTCTCTCTCTCTCTTTCTATCCATCTCTCTCTCCCTCTCTCTCTCTCTCTTCCTCTCTCCTCTCTCTCTCTCTCTCTCTGGGATTTTTTTTCTCTCTCTCTCTCTCTCTCTCTTTCTCTGTAACTGCCTCCCCGTCTGTTTGCATAGATAGTGACAGCTCGTTTCGCACATGCCTAGGCCAGATGCGAACCTTCGGCGGAGCCTCCTCAGCTTCTGGCATTTCTTCGTCCTTGAGGCGCGGAGGCTGCTCGCAGGCTCAACAGAGAGCTGTACGTTGGCAGAGAGCATCAGAGAAGGGCGGCAGGTAGATACAAGAAGCGAAAACGACTATGGCGAGCCAGGCGAGACGACAATGTACCGGGGCATAACACTCTCATGTGCAATTGTGGCCATGGTAACCATACAAGAACAAGAAAATAACACAATAACGCGAACCTGACATCAATTTGCCATGTAATGGTTGAAGAAGCCTACCTTCCAGCCCAAATCCTACTCCAAAGACGCTCCTCTTTGCAATCACGTCCTCCCAATTGAAGGCGTTCAGTGCCACTCATGGTCAGGTGGAAGGGGCACCGTAGATCTACAGTCCTACAGGCATCGTGCTGCCAGAACGAATGCTTCATAAGGTATGAAGAAGCTTTCTGGCCACGGAGCGCCTCGGCCACAAATACGTAGGTTCCCTGACCTAGATGTAAGGAACGGCCCGAACACCTGAGCCCATCCTGAGCCCAAAGTGGTCTTTGTTCAGCGTCCTGTCTTGACTGAATCCTGGGCGTCAGGAGTGGCAAGCAGTCGTGCCTTTATGCTTCACCCTCCCGGAGCGCTAACCATCAAGAGTCCTCGGGCCCCAGAGGGTGCAGTATACCTCCCACGAGCTGTGTGCCCCGAGCGTCCGCCTTCGACGGCACCAAACATATCCAAGACAGAACAAAGAAAGAGCAACGGGCTCCTGCGGAGAACAGCAAAGGGGCGCGGTACAAAATGGTCTGGCAGCTACCACCAGCCCTCTGGGCGGAGGCTGCCCAGCGCGATTACTCTGCCGACCCCCTTCACGGGGATTTCACCACTGATGGGCGTGTTTTCCACCACCACCACCATAAGTTGGCGGGGGAGGGGGTCCTCCTCCTGCTCCTCCTCCTCCTGCTCCTCCTCCTCCTCCTCTTCCTTCCCCCTCCAACTTATGGTGGTGGTGGTGGTGGAAAACGGGCTAATCAACCACTGCCCATCATCAGCCCGCCGCCGGCCCGTGGGCACCGCATGGCGCAAGTCCCGTCGCGCTTCCGCTGGCCGACCTCCAAGTGGCCCCGGAGCCCCGAAGGACGACCGCTCGCGGGCGACCTTGGGCCACGGGCCTGAACCTCGAGCATGCCACGGGATGGCCCCTGGGAAACCGTGCTGGCGCTCTCTTGGGGGCCTCGAGGGTTCAACAGGCGCCCTTTCGGTCTCCGACGGGAGGACCCTCCTCCTCCTCCTCCTCCTCCTCCTCCTCCTCCTCAAAGCACCCCCGTCGCTCATAAGCAAGATCATTGAAAGACCTGAGGGGGTTGAGGGAGTTCGGTACGTTTGGGTGGTAAACTCTTGTGGGCCAAGATGGCTCCAACATTGCTATATGTGCAGTGATATGTGCGACATGGCACATATTGGCTCGAGAAAGCCTCCAGCGTGCATGCACATTGCCGCAAGACGGCATCCAAGCGGCCACGGAGTCTCTCCTAGGATCCCCTTCAGAGTGGCCAAAGCTGGTTCACATCCAAGGTGTTTCAAAGTGCTGTGCCTTCTCGCCTTCTCGCTTCCGATGGGCTTGCGAGGCCTCCCGATGGCACCAAAATCGCCCAAGCGGGGCCTAGAATACCTCCAGAACAGCTCTTAGCCCTCCGAAAAGCGCCACAAGAGCGGCCCCCAGGAGGCCCTAAGGGGCGCCCACAAGATCTCCTTCTCCTCCTCATCATCCTTCTCCTCCTCCCCCATCCTCCTCCTGAAAGACCCCCCGTCGCTCATAAACACTATCATTGAAAGACCTGAGGGGGTTGAAGGGTTACGGAGTCTCTCCCAGGATCCCCTTCAGAGAGGCCAAAACTATTACACCTCCAAGGTTGTTCAAAGTGCTGTGCCTTTTCGCCTTCTCGCTTCCGATGGGCTTGCGAGGCCTCCCGATGGCACCAAGATCGCCCAAGCGGGGTCTAGAATACCTCCAGAACAGCTCTTAGCCCTCCGAAAAGCGCCACAAGAGCGGCCCCCAGGAAGCCCCACCAAGGGGGACGGACCCACGAGGTCTCCTCCTCTTCCTCCTCCTCCTCCTCCTCCTCCTCCTTCGCGCACTTTTCCTTCCTGTCCTCCTCCTCCTCCTCCTCCTCCTCCTTCTCCTCCTCCTCCTCCTCCTCCTCCTCCTCCTCCTCCTCCTCCTCCTCCTCCTCCTCCTCCTCCCCATCATCCCCTCCGCCCCCCTTGACGGCCCCACGACATGCCAAGATGCCACATCTGCGGGCCGCTTCCCCGCAGGTGCTTACTGCGCACTGCACAGGCGCCCGAGACGTGCACAACTGGCCCATGTTTTCGGCGCGTGCCTCGCGGTTCTGCACGTGCCATTCCGTGCCACCGCCGCGCTCTGCCGTGCCGTTCCACCACGCGGTCTCTCGTCGTCCTCCGTGGGCAGCACGCCGCCGTCACTGTCAGTGGCCAGGTGCGGGGTCGCGCGGCTGCCAAACATCAGCGCCGAATACCTCCTGCTGGGCTCGAACGCGCGGGACTCACGCAACCTCGGACGGGTCGTCAAAGACCCAGCACTCCAAGTTGGCAATGACGAAGTCCTTCTCCGAAGACAGCATGTCGGACTGGAAGGTGGAGGATTCCTCGCTCATGCCGTGCAGCAAATCGCTCTCGACGTAGAGCGCAAAGGCAGAGCCACCACCAAAGGCCAGACACTCCATGTCGGAGAAGAGGAAAAATGGGTCCTCACCCGACCAGTGGAAGACCTCCAGCCCCGCATCGCCGTCCAGCTCGTGCTCCTCCCCATCGGTGTCTGGCGTGGCGCCGCCGCTGTTGCCGCTGCTGCTGCTCTCGGTGCGCACGAGGACATCCTTCACCGCGACCGGGGTAGCCGTGTAGCAGTGTTGCAGGTTGGCACGGCGACGGCGCTGCCTGCTCGTCGCGGCGTCTCTCGGAGAACGCGCGCAGTTGTCCTCGCTGCCTGCCCCCGCGCCGTCGTGTCCCAACACCTCGTCCAGGGCCTCGGTCATGGACGTCACCGAATTCCCCTCGAGCGCGGCGCGGTCTGCCCTCTCTGCCTCCGCGCGCACCCGCAGGTGCCAGTCGCTCAGCAGCTGCACGGCGCGTTGCATGGCCTCACTCGACACGCCGGCAACGGTGACGGCACGATTTCACAACCGCAGGTGCAGCACGAACAAGGCAACGACTGGGACGGGCAGACACGACCCGCCACAAAAAGGGCAAACAATACGATGGGTTCGGCATTGATGGTCAGGGTGCAAATGGGGGGAACGGTCTCGCTCTGTCTTGGGCTGGTCGTCGTTCTTGCTCTTATCGTCGTCGGCCGCCCCGCGACCCACCCGCAATAGACACCCGCGACCAGCCAACTACCCGCGAACCACCAACATGTGTGGACAACCAACGATACCAATACCGCAGCTCCACAGACCTTTCCTGGGTTGCGTTATTGCCAAAATTTCGGGGCGAATCCAGCGGTGGTAGCGATATCGATACCGTGTCCTCTGATCGCCACACACCCGCGACACACCAGCATTGTTTTGCAAGAAGTCGTCGCCTGCGGCGGACTGGCTGTGTAGAGGCCTCCCAGATAGGGTCCGGAGGATTGCGCCGCATCGCCGATGGATCGACGATGCAGTGGCGATGCGCTGGTGACGTCGGCGATGCGGCGCGATCTTCCGACCCCATCCACTCCGACCCCGTCTGGGAGGCCTAGAACCTAGACTGATAAAACAGAGGACGCCGCTCACGACGATCTGGTCTCACAGCATTGCTCCCACCACGCGCCCCACCGACCACCTGCCCCACAACACTGGCGCCGGCGGCGGGCTTCTTTGACTGGGGCTCGAGCCACCGCCCCCCCCCCCGCGAATCGGAGCGGGCGTCCCCACCGCCCTCATTCGCAACTGGCCTCCTGGGCCGCCTAGGAGCGTCGGACAACCGCAAAAATAAGGCCAAAACCCTTCCAACATTACGCTACCGAGGAACCCCACATACTGATTTTGTGTCTTGAGGCGTGCTTCGGCTGCACTCGAGAAGGACTCTGCAGACCCCTGGTGCGCACTTTCCCGGGGGACGCGGGCTGGCCAGCTCCAGGCGCGCCACCCGCGGCTACCGCTTCGCATTCAGCGATCGGGGGATCCCACTGTCGGCCGTGGACAAACCTCCCTTTGGTAAACCTCACCTTAGTGAAAACGGCCCAGGACCGAAACCGACGGGCCTGGACCCGCAGAAATGACGGCCGCGACGCCCTCTCGCGAACCAAAAATGGCCGATTCGCTAATCGACGTGTCAGGGTAGGAGGTCTATCCACCCCCGAGTAAGGGCCTCCCAGAGGCCGAGCATAGCGAAGCGCCTCCCGTCGTGATTCTTCCAAGACTCGAGGGGGAGGAGAAGGAGGAGAAGGAGGAGGAGGAGGAGGAGGAGGAGGAGGAGGAGGTCGATCCACCCCCGACACTGGGCCCGCACTCCAGGCCACGCCGGCGAAAGACCACTAATTGCGTCTCGTCGAGTGCTGCAGTGCGGGGATTATCCCAAAGCCGCCGCCTGTGGGGATCGATCTTCGGGGACCCCGGCAGGCGCTGGCTCTGGACAAGAATCCCCGCCTCGGCCAGCTGCAGTTCGGACAAGCGGAAACTGCAGCCAAGCAGCTACCGTTAGGAAGGCTATACAGTCGGGGCGTTGACCTAAGGAACCCTAAGTAAGGAACGGGGCCCCTTTCCCCCATAAGTTGAACTTCGATTCCCCATGGAAAATCTCAGGAAAACAGAAGGCAAACTATAGAACAATCAAGGAACACCAGCGCCTCCCCAACGAAAAGGGTTCCTTCTGCAGGGCCCCGGTTGTGAGGACCGAAGCCCCTTTCTTGTCACCAGGAGCGAGGACCAGAGCCCCGGTGCACGAGGAGCGGATACTTGCGGAGCAATAGTGGAGGCCCCCCGGCGCATCGAGCCCCACATGCGCTCGTGTGTGGGACCACGTCCCTGCGCGTTTGGCTTTCCAGGCAGAAGAGATACCAAAATACACCATCTGTGGCACCCGGTGCCTACTGCACCTGCCCCCCCTCCGTCGCCCCCCCCCGGGGCCCCCCTGGTAAGACGAAGCCGGGATCGGGGCAAAGTTTGACCGGGATTAAAATCATGCTCGGTTTTTCAAATCTGGGGGCGCCACCGAGAGAACCTGCCACGCCCTGGGCACCATCGGCTTCGCGAGGGAAGGAATGCGCCCCGGCGCGGATGAGGCCACGGCGCGTATTTGGCCACGCGTGCGCCCGAGGGAATTCAGCGCCAAGCGCCTTTCACTCCAGAAGGCCCGACGTCAACAAAACAAACTTGAGGCCCCAAGGGGACCCCAAAGAGGCGGACCGCCAAAACAATCACGCAACCAACGCAACGAAAAACACGTGTAAATGTCAAAAAACGCAGCACTCAGTGACCTCTACGGCCACGCAACACCGCGAGAATGCCCAAGAAGGCATTGGAAAAGGAGCCCGCGCGCGGCCTGGCGACTTCCCCGCGCCGCCCCAATTTTCCCGAAGCGCGCCGAAATAACCGTAGAGAAAAACCCCGGAAAGTCTTTGGAAGGCTCCCGCACTATGCAATATCCGCCACCAAATCATCTCGCGGACACCTAGCGCGCACGCGCGGGCGTCCACATGGATGCCCAACTCCGATTTCGGAGACAATCGCGCGCAACCGCCCGGGGGCTTCGGCAACCTCGCGATTGGCCCAGGGGCCCGCGGGCCCCAGGGAATCGAGGACCGAGTTCGCGACTCCGGAAGCATCGGGCGCGGCGCCAGCCAGTCGCTCGTCTCTGGCTGACAGCGGGACGCCTGGAGATCCGGTAAAACCTGAGGAACCGCTTTTCAGAGATTCGCATAACCAGAAAACGGGGCGCGCCAAATTCTCGCGTCCGAACTTCTCTGAGAATCTGTGAAAATCTCTGAACTCGACACCCCGCGTGAAACATTCCCATAAACCCAAAACCTCGGAGCTGGCCGAAATTCTCTAGGAGTTTTGCGGCCCGCGAAATTTGGCGCGCCCGGATTTCCCGTTCCGAGATTCTCTGAAATCGGCCTGCGGCGGCGCCCAGCAGGTCTTCACGCGCCGAGGGCGGGGGCCGTGGACATTGCAGGCCGCGATGGTCCCGACCGCGAGGTCCTTCCTCCTGCCCCTCGACGAGTCCACGCCCATGGACACGCTCTCTGCGCTGAGCGTGGACCGCGCCATCCGCCGGTACTTCTGCGCGACGACAGCCAACGGGCCGCCGACGGACAAGGCGATTCTTTTCCGAGCTGCGCGCGCCACCGAAAACGTACAATAGCCCAGGGCTCGGGGAGAAACACTTTCGAAGCATTTTCAGGCCGCCAGCGTCGTGGCTGCCGACCCGCCGCGCGCCGACCGCGAGACTAGCTGGGCCCACTACGTCCACGGCGTCGGGCGGGCGCCCAAGAGAGCTGTCGCGACGGTGCGCGCGGCGGGGCGCCCGCCCCACTGCAACCGCACATGCGGCCTCCATGGCGCCACAGGCGTAATATGTGTGACGCACTCTCGGGCCCCCATCAACGCTTCGGCCAGCGCCGAAGCCCCTGAAACGCAAACCTACTGCGCCCCCCGTGCAAGCCGCGCACCCGCTCCCAATGCTCGTGCACACCAGCTTTTCTGCCCGCCCTCAACAGTTTAATTGAGCGCCCACGCGTTACGTGGGCTCCTCAAGCCCTCGAAAAGTCCTTGGGGAACTTCTGCGAATGCGCGCGCTGCGCTCCACAATTCGGCGTTCTATTTTTCCCCACATCCAAAGTGGGGCTCTTGTTTTCTCTGGACACCCCGCGCAGGAACAGGAACACACACACACACCCACTCACACTCACTCACACTCTCTCATCATCAACCTCATCAGCATCATCGTTGATGCTCTCTCACATGCTTAGTCACTCACATACTCATCACCATCATCACTCGCACTCTCTCACACGCTCATGAACATCATCATCATCATCATCATCATCATCATCATCGGCATCGGCATCATCCTCATTCAAACATCATCATCGCCACCACCACTCACAATCAATCATCATCCTCTTCACCACTCATCTTCACCACCACTCATCATCCTCATCCTCATCATCGTTGAATAAATTGTGAGGAAGTCTCAGGCGGGAGCCCCCTCCCTATGGGGCCCGCAGATCATGTTGGTAATCCGAGCGGGTCATCGGAAACCTGTAACTGTCGTCACTTTTGGGCTCGTCAAGCCTGAAAATGGAGGAAGTCTCAGGCGGGAGCCTCGTCTGTGAGTGAATTGGGAGGAAGTCTCAGGCGGGAGTTCCCTCCCTATGGGGCCCGCAGATCATGTTGGTAATCCGAGCGGGTCATCGGAATCCTGTAACTGTCGTCACTTTTGGGCTCCTCAAGCCTGAATTTGGAGGAAGTCTCAGGCGGGAGCCTCGTCTGTGAGTAAATTGTGAGGAAGTCTCAGGCGGGAGCCCCCTCCCTATGGGGCCCGCAGATCATGTTGGTAATCCGAGCGGGTCATCGGATCCTGTAACTGTCGTCACTTTTGAGCTCCCCAGGCCTGAAAATGGAGGAAGTCTCAGGCGGGAGCCTCGTCTGTGAGTGAATTGGGAGGAAGTCTCAGGCGGGAGCTCCCTCCCTATGGGGCCCGCAGATCATGTTGGTAATCCGAGCGGGTCATCGGAATCCTGTAACTGTCGTCACTTTTGGGCTCCTCAAGCCTGAATTTGGAGGAAGTCTCAGGCGGGAGCCTCGTCTGTGAGTGAATTCTGAGGAAGGCTCAGGCGGGAGCCCCCTCCCTATGGGGCCCGCAGATCATGTTGGTAATCCGAGCGGGTCATCGGAACCTTGTAACTGTCGTCACTTGGGGCTCGTCAAGCCTGAATTTGGAGGAAGTCTCAGGCGGGAGCCTCGTCTCTGAGTGAATTGTGAGGAAGTCTCAGGCGGGAGCTCCCTCCCTATGGGGCCCGCAGATCATGTTGGTAATCCGAGCGGGTCATCAAAACCCTGTAACTGTCGTCACTTTTGGGCTCCTCAAGCCTGAATATGGAGGAAGTCTCAGGCGGTTTTGTCCAGGGCGGAGGCGAAGCAGCTCGCGGCAGAGCTGGGTTTCGTGCTGCCTTCCGCCTGAGCGCGGCTGCGCCTCGCTCGAAGCCCGCGGGGTTGTCCCAACGGCTTGGTCTTGCGCGCCAGCGGCTCGCGGGGTTGTCCCGACAGCCTGGCCCGCGGGGTTGTCCCAACGGCTGCGCGACGTGACCAGTAGAGAACGCGCCTGTGCTGGCCGTGGCGGCGACGGCGCCGAGGAACATCGACATGCGCGCTCATGCAACAGGAAGGGGAGGAGGTGGCGGGGCGCGGAACAAACAGGGGGGCGAGGATGGGGACAACGTAAGGAGTGGAAGGGGGGCCCGCGCCAAGGCGACAGGAAATATACGCAGAAGAGACAGCCAGGACGCCTCACCAACCACGAGGACGACGGTGATGGTTTTTTCCAGATTCGCCCAGAGGATTCTTATGTGGGGTTCTTCCGTCGGAGAAATTCTTTGGAACTCTCCCAGAATCTCTGGTTCCGATTTGTCCCGATCTTCCGCTCAACTGACCTGGCCCCCCTGGGCCCGCCTCCCCCCTGTCCCTGCCCGCGCGGTGGCGGAATCGCGAGGCAGTGCCACTGGATTCCTTCTTCCAGCGTATCGACTGCACCCGTACAGTCGGCCCCGTATCAGGAGGATGCGCGATAAGGATGCAAGGGCTTTTGCAGGCCATGTCGACCCTTTTCGACAGCGACAGAGGCCAAGGATACGGGCCGAGGAGGCACGGATGCAAAGGTACCCTTGGGAAGGTTGCCGATCCTTACCATGCGGGTTGACTCTACTCTCAACCTCAGACCCCCGACGCCGTGATTTTTCCAACAGGTCGACCCCCAGAGGTCTGGACCCCTTCCCCAGGACCGGTTTTTCATCCTGCATCGTTTCTTGACGGCCCAGAGGCCCAGAGGATCCGGAAAGAGCTGGAAACCCCACCAGCCCTTTTAAGGCGTAGGTGGTCAAGAGCGGTTCCTCTGCCGACCCCCTTCTTTCCCGTCGGGGAGGGGCTTACCCCTCCCCAGAGGCCGCAGATAACAAACAACCGCAACGCGAGGGGGTCTGGGACCGTCGCCGGTGGGGGTGCCTCGTCCCCGCACGAGCGCCCCCGGCCTCTTCCGCAATCTTGCCGTCCGTGCGCCGCGAGCCGCCGCCGTCCGGAGCGGGCCCGCCCTGGACGAGCTCGAGGAGCTTGGCCTGGTCGATCAGGGGGACCACCTTGGGGGGCCAGCGCTGCGCCCGCAGCAGCTCCTCCTCCTCCTTCTCCTCCCCCTCCTCCTCCGATCCCGGCCCGGACCCCCCTTCGCAACAGCTGTTTCTTGACTGCTGGTCTGCCGAAGCGTGCCCAGGCCAAAGGCTCGTGGCGAGGCGGCGGAGCCAGCGACGAGGCGGCGAAGCCAGAGGTCCCGAAGCCCGAGCCATTCGCGCTTCACGCATCCTGACCCAACTTCATGGGAACTGTGATTCGTGCACAGGGGAGCGTCATGGCATCAGGTGCTCGCCCGCTGCTCTCTTTGTAAACTCACTCGCAAGGCCCTGAGCCCCCCCCCCCCCAACACGACAAGCTGCTGCCGTAACGACGTCGGCTCTGGCTCCTGCCACCGTGTTGGGCACCCGAGTTATCCGGGGTAACTCGGGTCCGGGGTAACTCGGGTTTGGATTCCCGAAAAAGGAACCCGAATTAGCCCTGACCCGAGTTACCCCTGATGATGTGGGGCTCTGGACGCCCGAATTATCCGGGGTAACTCGGGTCCGGGGTAACTCGGGTTCGGATTCCCGAAAAACGAACCCGAGTTAACCCTGACCCGAGTTACCCCTGATGATTCGGGGCTCTGAGAAGTGGCTACGGAAAAGATGGGGCCCATGCCCAACAGCACATGCTGTGCAACAGAAACTAACCGCGGCCGCTGTTGCGCAGGCGGCGTGTAAAAAAAGGCACTGCTGCCCGTCTTTGTACCAATGATTCCCGAAATTACCCATTTCGATCACCGCGGGTCCTGCATTCTGGGAACTTATGCGCACGCGCCGGCATCGCCGACCGTCAGGGCAGCACGAGCTCTGCCGCAGCCCTCGAGGTCAGAGGGAACCCAAGAGGTGATGCCGCTACTCTCTGGACCTCCCCCGGGGCGCGTCCCGACCAGGATTGGGAGGCGAGTCCGGCGGTGGCGACGAGGGCCTCCCAGGAGGCCCCAACGAGGTGAAAGCGAGGGAAGGGCAGCGGTATGGGTACCTCTTCTTCCTCCGAGGTCAAGAAGGGGGAAGAGCAGAGGGAGGGCTGGCGGGCTGGACTGGCGGGCGCTGCTGGGATCCCCGTTGGCACGCGGGGGGAAGAGGTCCCGCAGTGGAAACGCGCCCTGGAACCTAGGACTTTCCCCACGGACAGCTTTCCCCAATTGTGAGCTTGCCGCGGGGGTTCTGAGCTACGTGCTCGTCAAAGAAACCGGTGGGTGCGACGTGTTATTTCAAGGGCGGCCCTGCAAGGTTTCTTGGGTAGCCTCATTGCCCAAGGGTCGTCGCGAGATTGTGTGGGATTGCCCAGTTGCCCGGGATGTCTGGTTTGGTTGCGCAATGCCAAACAAAGCTAAGCCTCATCAAGGAATGCCCAGCAGAGCACACCACAGCCAAGCAATGCGAAACAATGCCAAACATGCAAAGTTGCCCACTGGGGAAGTTCACCCCCAATTGGGGTCGCGCCAGGTTCACTATCCCACGGCAGGTTCATCCTGGGGCCCAGGGACGACACCGCACGCACTCACGCACTCAAGCCAATGCGCCCCGACGGCGCATCGGCACCAACGCATGGCTAAATCCCACCAGCCCTTTAGGGCGTAGGTGGTCTAGGGAGTTTCCTCTGCCAACCCCCTTCTTCCCCTTCGGGGAGGGGTTTACCCCTCCCCTTACCCCTCCCCACTGACCTGGACGGGGCCGGTCGCGAGGTGTCAGAGCGTCCAAGATGGCCCAAGACAGCTCCAAGAGCGAACAGGCGAGAAAACACAAAACATTGATTTTACCTAGGTTTTGGAAGGATTTTGGCATCTTGGGGGGGCCCAAGAGGCGACTCGAGGCACTCTGGAGGGGCGGGGCTAATAAGCAACCCCCCCTTCTTTGATAGATCTCCTCCAAGATGGCCCAAAGAGCGCCCCGAAGGCTCCCAAGAGCGCCCCAAGAGCGCCTCAAGAGGGCCCCAAGAGACCCCAAGAGGCCCCCAAGAAGCCTCCAAGACGTTGCCAAGAGACCCCCAAGAGGCCCCAAGAGAGTCCAAGATGGCCCAAGACGGCTCCAAGAGCGAAAAGGCGAGAAAACAGAAAACATTGATTTTATCTAGGTTTTGGAAGGATTTTGGCCTCTTGGGGGGCCCAAGAGGCGACTCGAGGCACTCTAGAGGGGCAACGCTAATTGGGGACCCCCTCTTCTCTGATCGATCTCCTGCAAGATGGCCCCAAGAGCGCCCCGAAGGCTCCCAAGAGCGCCCCAAGAGCGCCCCGAGAGCGCCCCAAGAGGCCCCAAGAGGCGCCCAAGAGGCCTCCCAAAGGCTCCCAAGAGACCCCCAAGAGGCCCAAGAGGCTCCCAAGACGCGTCCAAGAGCGAAAAGGCGAGAAAACAAAAAACATTGATTTTTCCTAGGTTTTGGAAGGATTTTGGCCTCCTGGGGGGGCCCAAGAGGCGACTCGAGGCACTCTAGAGGGGCAGCGCTAATTGGGGACCCCCCCTTCTTTGATAGATCTCCTCCAAGATGGCCCCAAGAGCGCCTCGAAGGCTCCCAAGAGCGCCCCAAGAGCGCCCCAAGAGGGCCCCAAGAGGCCCCAAGAGGCCCCCAAGAGGCCTCCAAGAGGCCCCCAAGAGACCCCCAAGAGGCCACAAGAGGCTCCCCGAGATACGCAAGAGGCCCCCGGGACCGCCAAAGAGGCCCCAAGGACGGCCCAAGAGGCCCCCAAGTTCGCAATTGTCCTAGTCCTCCTCCTCCTCCTCCTCTTTTTCTTCCTCCTCCCTCCTCCCCCTCCCCCTCCTCCTCCTCCTCCTCCTCCTCCTCCTCCTCCTCCTTCTCCTTTTCCTCCTTCTCGTCCTCCTCGTCCTCGCAGTCCTCCATCTCCTCCTCCTTCTATTCCTCCTCCTCCTCCTCCTGCTCCTCCTCCTGCTCCTCCTCTTCCTCCTCCTACTCCGACGACGACGGTTCCTCCTACATCCTCCCCCTGTTGGGGCATATGGCGGCTCACCCCGCCCTTTGTTATTCTGCATGCTCCCCCGCTTCCCTCATAACCTCCACTCCCCTGGGACTCATTTCTGGACGGGCTGGTGGGGATACGCGAAGCGTCTAGAATAATTCGCAAGAAATCAATGAGCCCCCACGCTCACCAACCACAACGTACACGGGGTAATCGATCTGGGGGTACCAACCATCGAAATTCATTCGACTAAACATTGGGAGGGGAACCCCGAAACCACGACAGAAACGAAACACTTCCACGAAGCCTTTCCTCGAAACCTTTTTTGCTCGTGACCATCCGAGCCACCGGCTTCGGGAGCGGATCCCTGAGGCGGAAAACGAACGTCTCCCCGTCTCCGAAGTAGCGGTCCGACGCGTGCCACGCCACGGGCGCGAAGCCGCCGAACGCTCTCCCGTTGTGGTC